ATTTTTGTACCAGCCAAACTGTTTATCCCATCGACACACTTGCATAACCATCGTTTCCAAGATCTGCAAAAGACTGTATTCTGAACAGCACAAAACAAAGAAAAAAGGGTTATTGATGCCTGTTTGACTATCCGAGTGTCAGCGGTGTCATCCTTATGGATTGTCAGGTTAGAGGGGTATCGTGAAAGTGCTGGATGTGAATAAAGGCTGTAACCAAAGTGCGCGGACGATGGTAGCATACGAGCATGTTCTTCAGGATCTTCGTCATAAGGCCTTCCAGCCGCTAAGCTAGAGAATTTAAAACACAGCGTCTCTTTATATAAAAGGTACTCATACGATCTCGTGCTCCCGGTTCTGGAGGTCCGCCTTTGTCGACTTCCTCCTGTCGCATGAGCTCCTCCTCTCTGGCAATCGCCTCAGCAATCGCTCTCTCTTCATCTTCGTTGTTTTCAAAGTCGAAACGGTATGGTCGACTGAGGATTCTAAACACTCCCACACTCATTTTAGGACTTTGCGAGGCCAAAATTATTGAGAGATGAGTACAACTCAAGTTTTATTTAGGGTTGGATGTAGGTAGTTTACACCAACTGAGGTAGACCTAGTATTGATAGTGAAGGGTAGGTTTTTCAGAGTAAAGATCGCCTCAGATAAAAGGTCAATTTTACCATAAAATTAAACCAATAATTGTAAAAAACACCACCTACACCAATTTCATTCTATCATTGGTAAAAGTATAATTCCGTTTATCCAGATTTCCCTCAGTGATTGAGAGAGGTTAGTCTGCTCTAGTCCATGTATAGTATACGTAAGTAATTTTAGTAAATTTTAAATTCAAATGAAAATCGCTAACAGTCCCAACATTAGGAAAGTAAATGTGAAATAAGCATGGGACTTGCCGCATTGAGTGAAAAGTTCTAATTTAACTTTTTTTTCCTTAATCAAAAGCTTGGATTTGCTTGGGAAAAAATCAGGATCATGCGCAACTTTGGGCTAGGCAGCAATTAGACACCTGCAAAGAATTTTTCTCTCCAAACGAAGTAGAAGGTCTTCAGGAGAGAATTTTAGCAAGTTCGAGATGCCAGAAGAAAAAAAAATGGGGTCGAATTACAGAAAATCCAAGGATAGAGCTGAAAAAATCCTATAAACTTCGTTAATTAGCTAAAGTTTGAATCTATCTAGCAACGTATGATCAGCAGAACGTTCTCTTCTTGACGAAAGAGTTCGTGGAAAAGTATAAGAGAATTTTTAACAATTCTCAACCAAAACTCTCTCGTTCTTTATTAAAAAGAATTTATCCCGAGATAGTAGAAGTGAATTGGCAACAAAAAATTCAGCGACTCAAAACCAGGGCCGCGACTTATGACACGTACTCATAGGGCAATTAATTTTTTTCTATTCAATTCAATGGGATCCTGGCAGTACGAGCTATATGCTTGTATTGCCATTCTGTCCCAACAAAAAAAATGCACTAGCAGGAAAAGATCTGCAGTTATCTCTATTAACGAAGTTTTTAAAATTTTCCGTGAAAAAAAAAGGCAAAGAAGGCAATGTTCATACTTCCACCACAAGAATCACTCAAAGGTTTTGTTGACTTTATGCCTTTTGGCCTTGCATCTTTGGAGGTTTGAAAGAAGTATTCTTGACCTCCATTTCACGCTTTAGCCGTAAAACTTCTCCACAAGTGTGTTCAATTCTTCTGAAGTTGTGAAAGTGACTACAATCGATGTTCACCCATCTAGTGTTTCGAAAAGTAGCAGCGTATCGCATCTACAAACATGCCCAACAATCAACAAATTGACAGGAACGATCACAAGGAAAGAGGGAAAGGAAGACACTATGGTCATGCCTGCGGCATTAG